CACCTAGGTTTCTTCTCTCCCCCAGGACAATAGCTAAGACCCCCCTCCAGGATCTTCCCCACCTCCCTGGTCCAGGCCAGTGGCTAAGCCCCCCAGACACCTGGGTTCTCTCACCCCCCCGGCCATCCAAGTAGTGGCAAAGACCCTAACACTCCGCCGGCTGCCTGGGTTCTTCCCCCCCTGCCCAATCCAGGCCAGTGGCACAAATCCCCCCCTCCGCGACACTCGAGTTCTCCACCCTCCAGGAGGGGCCTAACCCTGCTCCCCCCGGGCCCCCCCAGGCAGCGGGCAGATCCAGTGATGGCAGTTCCTGCTGGAGCTGCTGTCAGACAGCGCCAACGTGGGCTGCATCGCCTGGGAGGGGGCGGACGGCGAGTTCAAGATGACCGACCCAGACGAGGTGGCACGACGCTGGGGCCGGCGCAAGTCCAAGCCCAACATGAACTACGACAAGCTGAGCCGGGCGCTGCGCTACTACTATGACAAGAGCATCATGACCAAGGTCCACGGCAAGCGCTACGCCTACAAGTTCGACTTCCGGGGCCTCAGCCAGACCCACCAGGCTGACCCTGGTGCCTACCGAGCCCCCGCTCCAGCCCTGCCCTGCCTGGGGCCCTGCCATGCGCAGCCCAAGGCAGGCTTTGGCCTAGCGCCTGGCCCTGGGGTAGCCCCCAGCTTCTTCACCAGCCCCTACTGGGGGGGTGGGGGGCTCTACCAGAGCCCCGGGGGCTACCTCAACTCCACCTTTTAGGTTGGCGGGGCCGCCGGGGGCAACTTGAGGCAGGCTTCGGCCTAGCGCCACCTTCTACAATGACCTGGGACACGGGGTGGCCCCTGGACTCCTCTTTCTAGCCCTGGAACCAAGGGGACCCTACAAAATGAAGACAGGGTTTGAGGCCTACTGTGGCCAACTCTAGGCAGGCTTTGGCTTAGCACGCACCTTGGGGGCTGCTTCAGCTCCACCCACTAGGCCAGCAGGGCTTGGGGTGCAGGGTGCCATGGCCTGGGGCTGCTCCCTGGACTCTTCTTTCTAGCCCCAGCACCAAAGGGTCTCTACAAGATGCAGGCCAAGGGTTTGAGGCCTACCACGGCCAACTCTAGACAGGCTCCAGCCGAGTGGCTGCTTTGGCAACTACTTCACCACCACCTTCTAGGCCAGCAGGGCCTGTGAATGCTGTCCTGGACTCCTCTGTCTACCTGTAGCACCTAGGGAACTCTACAAGGTGATGGCTGCAGCCTTGACCTATTAGGGGGCCTACCACAGCCAACTCTAGGCAGGTTTTGGACTAGCACTCACCTTGGGGGTTGCTGCAGCTCCTCCTCCTAGGCCAGTGGGCGCCCCTGGGATGCTTCTGGCTCTGACTCCTGGGGGACCGCCTGGTGAAGTCTGAGGTCTTGCCCTATTCTGAGACCAACCAAGGCAAACTCTAGGCAGACTTCAGCCTGGCACCGGACTCCGCCCAATAGCCCCCAGCTTCTCCTGACAGGCACCTGGGATCCTGACCATGGCAGGGAGAGACATGAGGCTGCCTGTTGCCAATGAGCTCAAGCACCTGTTGCCTGGAGACACCTGTAGGCACTTTGCCCAACGGAGACCGCCTGTTGCCCACGGACATCCATAGGAACCTGTTGCCAATGAAAACTGTTGCCCACAGGTACCACCTGTTGCCTATGGAGACACCTGTAGGCATGTATTGTTTATGGAAGCTGCTTGTTACCCATAGCTACCATCAGTTGCCCACAGAGATGCCCAAGGGCACCTGTTGCCTATGGAGACTGCCTGTTGCCAATATACAGACTTGCCTGCTCACCTGGGACACACTTCTCCCCCATGAACACTGCCTGTTGCTCCCAGCTACCTGTTGCCCATCACTCACCATGGCCAGCGTGCACTGGTTGCTGAGGACAACTGTCTCTCATGGACACCACCTATTTCCATGGCTACTGAGGCGGGAGGCAGGCAGGGATGGGGTATTAAGAACCCCCACCTCCAACAGTAGCAACCCCACATGACAGCAACTGTCTACTCCTTCCCCCCATGCTTCTATCCTACCCCCTGGATTAAAGGTTAAGACCTCACAGCTGATGGCATCAACAGGAAGTAAGATATGGTGGGGGGCAGGGATTGCTCTGAGCCTTTCAGCTATGATGGAGGACATGGGAGTGCAGATGCTTGGGTTTTCTTTTCTCCACCTTGGTTGTGGGGGGAGGAACTGACGCCTGGGTTCTCCAGCCAGGGCCAGCCTCCATTTAGGGGTCACTGGAAGCTGGGGGGGGTCTGTAATACACCCCCTATGAAGCAACTACTTCCCCCACAAACACAACTGCACAGGAGGTGGAATCCATGTACAAAAGGGGGGG